CGTCCTTTCATGGGTCTCTTCAACTTTGGGAATAGGAAAAGTCACACGGAGCCATATCTGGTGAATTTTTGCACTTTGCAACACTTTATTTCATTTCTTACGCAAAATTTAATACAAATTCTTTGACTTTTCAATTCTTCCATTGTAAAAATCGCCGAGCTCAGAAAAACACGTCGAACCTTAGCGACTACCACAGACAAAGTAAACAGTGAATATAGCTGAAAATTTCATCATACTTTAGGGGCATGTATACCAACACAATAAAAAAAAATTTTGACAATCAGACACTCCAGACCCGCGAAATTTAATTATTAGTAATTCCGGGTACTTTTTGAACACACCTCGTATAACGTCTCAAAATGCTCTGGTATTTGTGCTTTGTTCAAAACTGACTAAAATTTTAACAGAAATTTGCAGAATTAGCAGAGGACGAACGCAAATGTCAAAGTTAACCAAAATATCAAGTGAGGTCATTATAATTCCATTATCCTCTTAACGTAATACAATTAAATGATAAGTACATGTCTTGATCTGTAAGTCAGTCAGATATAGGTCAATAGGTAGATTTCAGAAAATCAATAAACCATTCACTAAATCGTATGAAAATTTACAATTCCTGTACTTATAGTGTGATAACGCTTAGATCAAAATCATTGCATAAAGAAAAAGTTTCAGAAGATAATTATAGTTTGAAGTTAATTGTAAAGATAAAAACTTCCTCTTTTTCAAAAGTCAGTTTCACAAAGAGAATCTTGTGAAAATAATTACTGATACTTCGAAACTTATACTTGTATGCTGTTATTTTTTAAAGACGGTAACTGAAGTATAAGTTTAATAGAAAATAATGTTCGACGTTGTTCAGAAACAAACTTTCTGATGCTTTAAGTTTACAATGGTTTTTCCCAGAAAGCTCCATCGAAAGTAAGAATCTTGATCAAATTGATCTCACATTTATAATAACAAAATATTTTATTCTATCATCAAACTAAATAACAAATCTGTGTATTGTATGTATGATTGCCACAATTATTTCAAGAACAAAATTCGTAATGAAAAATTGAAAAAGTTTGTTATGAAGTCCTAACGAGTGTCAAAGTACAAACTTTTGGTTTAGCTGTAATTTTAATATTAATTTGAAAAAAAGTTGGTTAGTACGAGATTTGTATCAAAGCTTCCATTTTCGATATCAGGCTCGAACAACCCGATATCAAGCAATAGTGGAATCGGATTTCACTTTGAAATATAGGTAGCAATATGCTCGCCAGTTAAACCGGTACTGCTGCATGAATAAAAATTGATCCTTCATACAGAAATTGTAATAATAAATTTCCATTAAATTAAATCATTGGAGAAATGATGTAATTGCTGATTAATAACTTCTATAATATTCGTTCACACAGTGGATTATGTTAAACAACGCCTGAACAAATATTGTTTTCGCAACTTTACTCATCATATAATAATTGTGTTTGAGGAACTTCATGCAATTAAAATTAACATACATTCATTGACCGAAGGTACTTTTTTACTTTTTCGCTGGCGATATAATCTCATTCTTTGATATCTGTTTTGCCTAAAAAATATTTTCTATTTCAATAACTTCAAAGATTTATATAAACTACTAATAATATAGAAATTATTTCAATAAACTTATGTTTCATACATGGGGCAAATGCTGCATTTGTTTTATTATTTTTATAATAATTATTAACGGGGGACAGTGTAAAATATTCTACTGATTCAGGCATTTTTTTATCAAATCAAGATTTGTACTACGATGTAACTTTAAAATGTTATTTATCTATATCGATTTCTTTGTTAATATCGGTACGCATACAACATTGACGCCGGTACACATACAACGTTGATGCCGGTGCGCATACAACGACAGATTTCTATTCACATACGCGACGACTAATCACAATGGACCCGTATAGAAATATCATCGAGAGTGAATGACAAATCATTAGCACTCGACTCTTATTTTATCTTATCTGCCGTAACGCACTTCCGTTGCATTTGTACGGATTTACACCTTAGTCGCGCCTAAAGGAGTTTTATTTCAAAAATTCAAATTTTGTAAAAACAGAGATGGTATTTGGGTTGACATCTATAAAAATCTATAGAAATAAATAGTCACAATATTTAATAATAAAAAAATACTTCATTTACACCACATTCAAAATTTGGATTTTCATTTTGCCCAAACTGAAATTTTATTGCAAAGCCTAGATGACAAAGTGCCTAAATAATGGTTTTACAGATATAAATAGAACATATTTATATAAAAATGTAACTTTGTATAAAATCTTTCAATAATGCTCTATATTGTATTTCAAGAAAATTGATACAAAAAATCTTTCTTTATAGAATTTGCAGTTTTCTTAGTTAATTTCTCAGTCATGCAGAAAGTAAGATTCATTTTATAGTTAAAAATCGTATCCATTAAATTTTTTTTTTCTCATCTTTAATACAAAATATAATGCTTTGCAGAATAAATTTGAAAATCATCGTGGCGTGTAGGTAATACGAGTAGAGTGTCTTTTTTATTACATCGACTATAACGGCAGGGCGTCTGTCCGTTGTCGTTTGTTTTAATAAACTTTTTAAAGTTCAAAAGAACAATATAATATAACGCTGCGCTGCGAGGTAGTTCACAGAAAATGCAAATGATAACGAGATAAAGGCGCGTACAGAGCGTGAACGCACAACTTCGCATCTGCAATAAGTCATTATCATGTCTGGAGCATATAGAACACCTATTTTTATCTACATTTCACATCATATTTATGAATTTCTAAACACTTTTCTTATACGAAACAACGCAATTCACTTTGCATCTGTCAGATAGATGTAAACGAAGTTCTTATTACTAACTCTATATAAAAAGAATGAAAATATAGTTTGCATTGAACCAACAGGAAAATTTATTACATATTTAAAGTATGTATAAAAAATTAAAATAATTAAATATTAACTTAATTATTCACGAAATTGAACGAATTTTATGTAGAAATTAGTTCAATAAATAATCAGAATATATTTTCATCAGTATATAAATCAAACTAAAGTAACCATGGCGACAGTCAAACTAAAGTAACTAAGTATAAGTGGCACGTTGCATAAATTTTCTAACACAATAATCGGGTTTATCAATAAGATGATTTATAAGTGTACCGAGTTGTAGTAAAGTAACTATTGCAGGTTGTTCGATTCAATCCAATTTTCCTAACATGTTAGGTGATTTACCCGAATAGTCTGAATATTATTTATTATTGAAAAACGAACATGCGCCGGTTTGGCCCTGACAGTCCCGGATTTCCACCTTGTGCCCCAGGTTCTTCTATAAGCAACATTTGTCCCGAATTCAGATGCTTTATCCCGTATTGTCGCGAGTTTTCGAAAAGTATAGGTTTAAATTAAATTTTCGCAATTACTTGATCATAAAATTACAACTACCCATCAAATATCAGAAAATGTTATATAAGAAATAGTATGGCACAACTAATTAGAAAGACAAATTTACCGTCTCGGTTTTGACTTGAAAAAATATGGTCACCTTACTAATACATACATGAATTATTTTCCAAAAGCTCGGCCAATTAATCCGAAATTTAATTTTTAGAATTAAAGCATTTAAATATTCTAGCATGTTCATTACTAAATTATTCGCCAAAATAAATGTTTGACATACAATTTTATCAATTCGAAAGATTCCACACCATCTTTGAAATCTAGTAAGTAATTTTTTGAATCCACACCAAAAGTAATTATTTATATCTGTATTAATAAAAATATGATATTGCTAAATTACCAAAATAAAAATTAAGTTCTTTTTTTAAATATAAGAATATAATTAGAACAACTGAAGTGTAAACTCTTCACAAGTGAATTTTTTTCTGCGTTTTCTTTAAGTTTACGTCATTATAACTTTCATGAAAAACTGTTAAAAGTTTCAGATAATATTATCAGTAGAAGTGAATACCATTTTGCTAAATTGAGAGTAAAATGTAAAAAATCGTGACTTTAATAATGAATTGCAATATATATATTAAAAGTAAAAATGTAGTTTTAACCAATTTAATTACAAAAATTAAGTTATAAACTCTATATAGTTAACTTAATCAAAGACGAACTTTAAAAACAAGTGAAGTATGGCAGATAAGAGAATCTTGAATGAGTTGTTCAGATTAGATTTATTCTTACAAAGTTTAAAAAGATTGAAAATTGCTTTTTGTCATATTTGGAGTCCTAGATAGAGAGCCTAGAAAAATTACTCAACTAACCGATTTAACAAACTTACTAAATTTATATTAAAACGAAGTATATAAAAAAAAATCAAATGTATCAAGAACATTTTTATGAATGTGAAAATGAAAATACATTTTCTGTTAATCACGAAGAATATTGGAAGCATAGATATTTCTATCGCATCCATCAAATTTTTAAAATAATCGAAAAAATTAGTAACTATTAATTACAGAGAAACAGCATCACCGATATTTAGTAATAACTAATCAGCACTGATAATAATCGAAAAACTTGTTTTCAACATCTAGTTTATGTACAGATTTATTAAATTTGTCGAATCGGTGCAGTCATTTTCATTTATATTTGCACACAAATATTATATTAAATTTCTAATTCAAACATTTCAGAAAAACTTGAGACGTCGGGGTTGATATTTTCTCTTTCTCTATAAATATAGAGTTAGCAAATGCGATTCTCTGTATCAACAAAAATCTCTTGCTCATATTTAATAATTATTTAATACGACCTTTGCAATTTATGAAATGTGTCCATATTGAACTCTTATTTTTTCTGGTAATTGAATTTTGATATAAATCTTGTTACGATTTAATCACTTTACGAAGACAGGTCTGGCAAGTAATTAAAAAATATTTTCAAGTTTTTATGCGATCAGATGCCCTTAGCAGTTTAAGATATCTTAAGTATAATCTCCGTCTTAAGGCGTGGGTGCTGTTTACAGCCCATCAAATCTATTAGGCACCCTCCTCGAATTCTATAATACAAAAGCTAAAGTTACGTATTTCAAGGCAGAATATATTTTGTCAAAGGAAAGCAAAGAGTCATGTTCTAAGATTGATAACATCTCAAATGAAAGTATAAGTTTGATATAAAGTAAACTTTAGAAATATTGCACCTTTAGTGCAGCATTATTAACTGTTTGTGTAAGCTGAATACTCTTACTTAGTTAACAAATATATATATATATATATATATATATATATATATATATAATCATAAAATTTTGTGATATGAGCGGAACGAATATTAAATGTTAAATATGAACAATACAACACTCAGATTTTTAACACACAATATATTTAATAATTACAGACGTTTCGAGACCATGCTATGCCTCATCTTCAGTAAAATTTCAAAAACAGTTACTTATATACTCGTACTACACATTCTTTAATATTTTATATTTAATATTTATATATATATATATATTTTATTTAATATTTATATATATATATATATATATATAATCATAAAATTTTGTGATATGAGCGGAACGAATATTAAATGTTAAATATGAACAATACAACACTCAGATTTTTAACACACAATATATTTAATAATTACAGACGTTTCGAGACCATGCTATGCCTCATCTTCAGTGAAATTTCAAAAACAGTTACTTATATACTCGTACTACACATTCTTTAATATTTTATTTAAATTACATTTAATTTTTGATATACAAAAAACACCAACTACTCCTTGCAATGCTTGACTCTGTACTGTACTGTAGTTGACTTTGTAATAATACTTTAGTTTCTAGTAATACGTTAGTAGAAACCTTTATATAAATAAATGTTTATTAAGATTTTTCATGATTGAAAATAGCATTTTCTATTTAAGTTATTTATAACAAAACCATTTATTTTACTCATTTACTAATAATACTATTTTTAAATTAATTTCAACTTTCTTTGTGAGTATTTTATATTTATAAAGCTTTATAATTTGTAGCAAACATTATGTAGGTGCGTGAATATCAAAGTAAAATATATTTTATAATAAAGAATAAAATTATGAATATTAGATCACAAATTATCGACACAAGAAGGTCAATTCTTAAATATTTTCGTTATGTAAATAATTAAATTAAATATTATATATCTATGAGTCTATAAGTATATTGATAAACAGATAAATTGTCTTATTAATTGTTCATCAATTTTTATAATAATACTATGCAGAGGCTATCTTTGTCGATACAGCATAATATTATTTATGTTGTTCTAATTAAAGTAAAGATAGATATTTGTTCTAATTAAAGTAAAGCTAGTTTAAATCAATTCCCAAACTGAAATCTTCAAAAAAATAAGTATTTTATTAACTTTCCGTAGGGTAAGTTATAGTAATTGCAAAAAAATCGAAAATAAAAATTTTTATATATCTTTACGTTTCAGAGGTTTCTGAATATTTTGGCATACCTTAGAAAAAATTGATGTATGTGTATGTGTGTGTGTGATTTTCGGAACATTGATCAATCGATTTGAATAATTCAAAAAACATTTGATTCGTATTAATAAGGAAACGTGCTGATGTTTTTGGCGAAGGTAGGTCTAGCCGTTCCGAAGATACGGGACAACAAATGCCAGAAACGGTAACTAGGTTTTTAAGAGAACGGAGCGTCCGATTTTAATAATTCAAAAAAAAAATGAAAAACTGATTAAATTTTTTGGAAAGCAGATCCAGCGATTATGGACTCTTAATGAAAATAATTTAAAAAAATGTCATTTGGCGGTCAAAAATGTTTATTGGACATATGTACATCAAATTATCAGATATTATATAGAGATTTTAATAATGTGTACACATTTTGTGTAATTCTTTTTGGGTACCAAAATTTTTAATTATGGTACGGGAAGCTCCAACAATTTGCCTTAAGGCACGATGCCATGCACCCCACTAGTTTTTTTTTTTACTAATACATGTGAAGCATATTATTATTCAAATAAATGTGTTGACAACATATAGGTGGCTTTGTAGAACAGTGAAAAACAAAAACGCATATCATTGTCTATAATTTAAAAATAAGGTTCTTATCGTGTTTGTGTAGCTCAATTTGTTAAGAGCTCAAAAGATCTATATGTTAGCTCAGTAATGAATTTGATTATAAAGAATCATCTTTTTTCTTAGAGACGACCATATTTAAAATGTGTTTTACTCGATCCAAATTTGGCCTATAATCCAACCTAAAGGTATGTCCAGTCTTAGAATTTCTTTTTATTCGTGGGTGTCAGAATTCTTTCCTGGATATATTTATGTAAGCCGTTACGGTTACGTCGGCAAAAGGACGTCATTCACACAAAAGGCGTTCATAATGCAATCCCGCGGTTGAAAAATGACATGTTAAATACATATACATCGTTCTATTTACGTTATGATGTAAAAATGTAATCATATAGGAGCTGCAAAACTGCTACACACGTGGGTTTATTTGATTGAGCGTTGTACCTTGTATAAATCGTGCTATACGTTACAGTGTTATATAACATACAGAACATTTACCAAAGTCGAATCCGCTTATTAAATGTTTTCTATGAATACTCGACGGGATATATTTTTAAGAAGTCACATAAGTGTTTTTGAAAATTATTTTGTTATAATACATAACTATTGTTGCACCAGTTAGTTATACAAAATGCACCAGTTAATTATACAAAAAAATTTAAAGCCCGCCGTGACGTACTAACTAGTACCTTTCACCCAAGCTCGATATCAGGCAGCACGATATCAAATTTCCACTTGGGCTTTTACTTTTAAGTGAAAATCTGCAATATGCATTCATCACTGTTAGATATAAATCTAACATAATCGCCACAATTAGGAGAATGGTTAACCTATGGGTTGCCTCTAATTAAAACATTAGGATAAGTCTTAAAGCAAACAACATACAGGATAAGTAATTTAAAGTAGTTCTTATTGCTATTCAACAAAGAAGATAAAATCAAATATAAATCACAGATAAGAATAAAATAAAATAATTTGAGGTAATACGTACCTAATTATCTATGTAGTTATTTTGTAAATTTGGTTTTAAATTATTTAGCAATATTTTATTAATGTGCAAATATATATAATCGAATGATTTTGCGTTATAAATTGGAATAATTTGAATATTTAATATAAACGTATTAAATTATCTATGTTTTATTTCTGTATGTCGTATTTTGCTGATTAAAGCCATGATCAACTGTTTGGTATGAGATTTTTTATTACCCAATATTATTTATATTGGAGTTATATTTAACAGTTTTATTCATACTATGTGTCGCATAAACTTATTGAAAAATATTTTCAATAAAAATATCTCATATTTGTATACGGGAATAACGAGATCGATATAGATACGTATCTGCAAATAAAACGTTGAAAACTATATTTATTTTGAAACCTATGTGCACAAATAAAAATATAATGATGTTTATAAATGTTATATACTTGGGATGTGTAGGAAACGATGCACTTATTATTAGACCAAATTTGAAATGAGATAGGACTATCTCACCAACAAAACCTCAAATCAAGATTTGCAATGAAATATAATCGAAATTTGAATATTGTATAAATCTCATTTTTATAAATAATGAATTAAATATGTAAATATACTTATTTGATAGATTTACCATAATTAAATTGATTTTTATGTTTTCATTGATCATACTTGGCAAAACGATTGTAAATCAATTCTTGTAAAATAGTTCTTACCCGGCACTGCTCCAACAATAAAAAACATTACAAAAATTTTAATAATAAATTCATTCAAATTCAAATAGAGATATGCCAACCAATCTCATAAAGAGACGCTGTCAATTCCTCACAATAGTCTATATAATATATTTCTAATTCGCTGTTGAAGTAAGTGAACAGTAAAATGTAGTTATAATTGTTTTATGTTCACGAATCCCAAATTTAAAGTGATGAAGCTGATAATCTATTATTAGACATAATCTATTATTACATAGTGCAGTCCACAGTCCATTAATATGTCATCATACCATGGATCAATAAATTTTTTGTTTTTAACGCTAAGATGATATTTTTTCACTGGATGAAGGCTAGGAATGTAGCCGAAACGTCTAGATTGTAAAATAATTTTTTAAAAAATATCTATTTTTTTATTGATGTTATACCCGATTAGGCGACGGAGAAGTATAATCTTTATGTACTGTACTACGTATACTACTGCATAGTACTTCCAACAAATATCAGTCTTAATTTTATATTTTCAAATCTAGTTTTCCTAGTATAATGTTGTATGTAAATTAGATATATTTTACAGTATAATATTGTTTGAATGAACCGTCGATGTAGTTGAATGCGTTCATTCCCCTACAGAATCTGGAGCACGCATTCGATGCATCATTGTCTGGAAATATTCCAAGCTAACAGAAACCTACACAGTACATCTGCGAAGACTGACACAATAAATATTGTTACATCTTATAAGAAATCCTTTCAAATTCGATTTATTTTTCTTTATTGAACTTTTGTAACATATACGTTTTCTGACTGCTTTTATTCGTGGAACGGCGTGAAAATATACGAAGAAGTCTTTCTTTTATTGTAATTTTACATAAAAATATTTCAAAATTGATAATATATTTATATTTTCAAATTAAAATATATTTTATAAAAATTTATTGCATAATTATGACTTGGAATAAAATTCAGAAAATAAAGTGCAATTTAATTTACAATAATTTCAAACTGTCTCTGCTTATGAACAAAAATATTCAGGCTTAACATGGAGTTTTAAAAAATATTTTTTGAATTTGAATAGAAAAAGTAAACCTTGTAGTATCACCAAGATAAAAGTCCAGATAATTTCTTAAAGCTTTCAAACTGATTCAATATTCTGGTTGAAATCTTTATATGCTTAATCTTTGGTCTTTGGTCTCTCTTTTTCTACCCCAAATGAATAGAGTTCAAATTATTTTACACGTAGAATTTAGTCGTTTTGAACCAAAGAAAACATAATTTTTGTTGAAACATTTAGTAACCCTATATTTGTTCTAATCATGCTGACTACAATATTTGATGAAATACACAAAATAATTCAAATAAACTAAAATAATATATAAATCAAAAACGAGTGTGGTAGAAATAATAACTGCATTTTTTGATTACTTTTAACTTTGATTAAATTAGTCCTAGTTAATTGCAATACAAATTTCTATAATCGCTTTATAATTTTCTTCAAAATATAAAAAATCATTTAGATTTTATTTAGCTAATTAAAACTTGTTAAAAAAAGAATACTAAATGCATAAAATATTCATTATTTGCTACTAAAGCTCAATGCGTCTCAAAATCACAATTTTATAATTTATCATAGAAATAAAACCAAGGAGTTAATCATTTATACTTATTCTAATTGTATACAGTATTGTACCAGAATTTTTTTTTCTCTAAAAAATGGCTTTTAAAGAGTCGAAGTTATTTAACATATTCGCGAACAGTAAAAGTTTCAGGGTAGGTACAATAAGGTACAAAAGTGGCATTTTTAAATTGATAGTGATATCCGAATTTTGATTGAAGACTGGTTATCAGAAAAGTCAGATTATCATGTTTTAATCATTATATACGATGAATGCTGTAGCATCCACGTTAAGTATTACGCTTTTATTTTACACAAGTTGCCGGGTATAATAATTACAAAAACATAAGGTTATGTAAAGTTAAATTCAAAATAATTGACTTTAAAATTTGAATGCTATAGCATGCACGTTCGCAAAAGTGTTAACTAATGGACATTTATGTGCCAACTTGTTTCTCGTTTTATGTTCGCAATTATTATACGCTATAAGAATTGATATTGCAATATAACTAGATTTTATTTATCGTATATTTCATTTTTTACAGTGCACCAGAACTACGTCGGATCAGATTCCGAGAAACAGCCGTTTTTTCTTAGCGTCGTTTCGAGTGAAGCGAACTCACAATCTTTGCCGGTCTACAGGGCAATTCTATTCAAGAGAAGTGTAAGTACCACTTTGTAGATCGCAATATTTAAATAGTGGAAACTGCGTTTTATAAACATACAAAAGTCAATCTTAACTAAAAACGTCATTTTTTTATATTATGTTAAAATGCTTCCTATACAGAAAGACAGAATTCTGATAAATCAGGTAAATTTGGCTATATATTAAATATATTGAGTATTCGAAATATATTTAAATGATATTTGTTTAAAACTAAAATTACATCAAATTACATATTTAAAAATCATATTCGATAAAATTCTTGCGTAACATTAAGATTTTCCAGATAATAGGAAGAGAGAAAACTAAACTAAGTTTTAAAAAAATGAATTTCCATACGTTTTCTGACTCTTTTTCAATGGTTAAATCTTCAAAAAAATATTGCATTATTGCATAAAGTAATAAAAATATTATAAATTAGGTAAAACTATGGGGTTATGTATTAAAGTGATGTTAGCTTTACATATAATTTTATTGTTAACTGCATAATAAGGTTGAAATGAAATAAAATAAAATAAAATACCGAAATCTTACGTTGCATCCTTCTTCTATCATATCCTGATCACATGCTTTTGCATTGAACTATTGTTTTTATCAACACATTTATCACCATCTGAAAATAATTATTACATATATAAAATTATGTTTGTTTGTATTATAAAATTAATTATTAAGTAAACTATATTAAATAAACGTTGATTTTTATGTCTGACTGGATCAAGATTCAGAATCATCTACTATACTTGTAAAGAAAAAAAGGTTTTTCTGTCAGAATAATTAAAAATTGGATTAGAAATCATGATTACTAGAAGTCAAATTGGACCTTCGTGCCCCGTTCTATTGAACTAATTCTGATATGTTGGAATAAAATCAATATCGAAGAATGAACACAATAAGATTTTTTTTATTATTAATTACAATCTGTCACGCTTAGGACATTCAGTAATTGTTTTGAATTTTCTTATTATATGAATCTTGAATGGATGGCAACCCAGTAGTTGTCCAGTCTAGTTATTTGTACGGTTTATAAAACTAATTTGCAATTGCACATATTTTTCTATCTTTTACTTTACGAAATAATTTTGTTAATATGCATAGTAAAGTAATTGTTTTTGACCAGCAATCAAAACTCAAGTCCTATAAATGTTGAGCTAATTTGACTTAACAGCAGCCACTACAGATGGCAACCCAAATATTTGTCTTACCTCCGTGATAAGTTTTTATGGAATTGATGTAATAGGGCGAACATTTCATTGACGCAGCAATGTCGGATTAGGGCTGGTTTTACTCAGAAACACGTTGCTATCTATATTTTGAAGTAAAAACTGATGTCACTACTGCTTGACATCAGGTTTCTCGAAGCGTGATCGAACTCGGGACCTCTTATTCAGGTCCATTCGCTCTAACCGCTTACCCACGATCGAGCCAAAATTAAAATTTACCAATAAATCATATAGTATTTCAAATCGAAGTTTTATTATATTGTCCAGTAATGTCAATCATCGTCAATTGCATCGCATTTCTTCCGCTCGTGCGACAATATCGAGTAAACGTTACATCAAATAACGATGATACGTAATAAATAATGTCATTGTTCATCGCATTGCGTATCTTATTTTATGTATTTTAGCTTATATGGGAGGTAGAATTATATTTCCGTTGTTCGTTGGTTGGTTGGTTCGTTTGTTTGTTTGTTTGTTTGTTTGCACGTCTGACCGAGTTATTTTCTCATTAGCGGCGCATTTGTTCTGTTGAGGACTCTTGTCGAGTTATCGTCGCTGCGTAAATGCCGCGCGGGTAATTCAGCCAATTACCGTTTCAGGCCGCACGCCCTCGGCTAAAATATGCAGAAAGCATCGCGGAAAAACTCGCACATAACTAGTGTTAAATAAGGAAAAGAATTTTAACGACATTTCTGTAACGTAATAAGTAGATAGACTGTAATTTCTTATTTTGTACATCATCATATTTCTTATTGTGGGGCCAGCGGTGGCGATATTGGTTCGAACGTGGGCTAGCACCACCTAGTCCCTGGTTCGCTGGTTCGATTTCCGCTACTGCCAAACCTGACATCAGGCAACTTTGATCTTCAAATTTCTACTTGAAGTTATAGATCTCAAATATAGCCTCAAGTGAAAATCACCTCTCGTGGGTATAGTTGCATATATAATAAAAATGTCAGCAAATACTATACTGAGTATAGATAATTAGAACTATTTAGTTCTATATATATATTTTTTTAAATTCAATTTAGTTCGTTATTTTCAACAGAACATTTTGACAGAAAAACTAGTATTAATTATTAAACTAATTATAATTTGCGTAAACTAAATTAGAACTATTGGTGTATGGCATCGTGTCATAACGTAAATTGCTTCGACAATCGTTTTGCCAAAGCAAGCAGAAAGTTTTGTGAATCATTCAAATCGGATACTTAGTTCTATCAAAAATTGCCATTTTTTGCACATTTAGCTCGGTAGTTCCGAAACATTTGGACCTGCTTTTGCAAAAAACTAATCACCACTTCCATCCGTCATTACGAATTGAATGTTTTTGGAATCATTCAAATCGGATGCTCCTTTTTCTCAAAAACTCGATTTCTATGTTCTACACTTTTTGCTCCGTATTTTCGAAACGGCTAAGCTGGATCAATAGAAATCGAATGTTTTTTGAACTATTCAAATCGGTGCGCCTGAAAACGTGGACAAAAAATTGTCTCCACTCACACATTCATTTTTTTTGAGGTACATCAAAATGTTCAGAAACCTTCAAAACGTGAAATGTAAAAATTTTCAATTACGATTTTTGGACGATTACAATAACTTACCTTACGGGAAGTTAATTGAATTATAATTAAACTAATAAATAATAATCTATATATTGCATATTTATGACTTATTTAATAACTGTTTAAAATACTGCAGTATGACATTTGGTCCATATAAATTCAAGCAATTATACCAAAATTTAATTAAGATATAATTTAGTACATTAATAAAAGGTGAACCACTGGGTTTTCCTTTTAAAATTCTATGTTATTTGTCAAACTAATTACTCAATGTCTTTCTATTTAGACAGATTATAATTTATAAGAATATAAAAAAAATTCAAGCAATAATTCTTATGATTGTTATATAATAAGCACTGATGCAAAATGATGTGATTCTTTTCCCGTAACATACATATTTGTATTCATCAGCGACGACCTTTACTTGTTATGTAAGTTTCTAACCTACATATTTCATATAAAATGTTGCGTCGAACTCTGTTGAAAAATGCATCAAGTAAATCTATACTTATTTTCGCTTTGTTGGTTTTCACAGCTATTTGAATAAATCTAACATTCCCCGACAATTGAATCAAATGTAGCACATTCTTTTACTATGTATTTTTTATATGGCAGAGCAAACTTTTGAAGTTATAAAAAATATGTACTAAAAATAAAAAGTATAGTTTCTATGATAAAATTTTAGGTCGTAAAGCATTTAACAGTGGTTATTTCATTTTCCTCCGCAGAAAGATTAAAGTGGTTAGCTCTGTTTTTAATCTAGACTTATTTAAAACATTATCGTGAAACTGAAGAATATAAAACAATTTCAAATCTTTGAGATTAAAACTGAAACAACATGAAGAAAAAATAAAAAATTTTAATCAACTAAATAAAAAAAATTAACACTAAATGATTTTGTAGTAATTGTAAATAAATTTAATGCATACTTTTAATATTATCTAATGAAATAAAAAAATGCTTAGTATTTATTTAGGTTTAAATTATAAAATAAATCCTTGTATGAAATTATGATTACATTGTTCTACAATGAAAAATACTATAATAGTATAATTTGAATGTTCAATTTCAGGGAACCCAGAAAATATCCCTATCAAGTTCTCCTGGACAAAAAATGACAGTAAAACATATCCTAAACAAATTTCCCGGAGCAGAACGAGTAGAGAAAACGCCTAAGGAAATTTACACAGCAGATGTACAAAAAGATCTTCTATTATTAGAAGAGCAAGAAGGATCAGTCAATTTCAAATTTGGAATAGTTTATATGCGCAAAGGGCAGAGCACTGATGATGAAATGCTCAGCAACGGTAAGAATTTACTTTACATAAAATAACATCTATAAAATTAATTAAAAATAATTTAATTATAATGTAAAAAATAAGAGCATAAGGTAGACAAATATTTCATGAACTTCCCGAAGGAGTCAGGCAAAATATTAACCTCAAATTTTTCGAATGTTTTATGATCGACACTACAGAATTTTAAAAAATGAGGTTTAGGTCAAAAGTAAAATTTGATATCTCGGCTACATAGTAAATTATTTATTACGTATACAAATAACATTTAACATCGCATAAACAAAGTTTTATACGAACTAAAAATCGATGATGTGACATTGGCAAGTCATGTTATGGCACCTTTATGGCGTAATATAACTTTTATCTGCTGATGGCTTGTGTCATTATAAAGCCTTATGGATTTTTATATTAGAAGCCGAGGTGGTAGGATAACCGTTTCTTAACGTGGCTTATCCACCATAATAGGCAGTTTTTAGGTTTATTGGTAATGCACTGTGACAAAACAGATCAAAATTAGTTATTTTGATACATTTTTCAACATTTGGCTACAAAAAAACGACACGACCAATCTTTGCTAAAAAAACTAATCAGCACGATTCCCAACTGATATCTTTCGAATAGTGTTTTGAATTTTCAAAATCGGTTTAGGATTTATTACGAAAACGCGGACTTAAAATTTTTCACCTAAATATTAGGTGTAAAAGTTCCAATTTAGTCGTCTTATAGAAGTTGTTTGTTTTGTGAAGTAATAAATTCATAAACTTTACTTAAGAAAGAAATACAATTAATACAAAAATTATAAAAACGATCCATACGAATTAGAATGACTATTTTTGCTAAAGCGATCCTTCTTCATAATAGAAGTTATATTTTTTCTGTAGTAAATTAATTCTGCCCCATAATAAAAAAATTTTTTCTCACCTTTTCCAAGAAGAATAATTTGAAGTTTTGTAGATGGTATGAGCTATTTGGATATCCTATGAGTTTTTTAGCATCTAATTATATAGGATTATTATAATTTTTTATTAATTATATAAATAAAAATATTTTCTAACTAAATAAAAACGTTCAAATAAATTTCCTCCTACAATATTGTCGAATTCATCTAATTTCTCTTTAGTAAATATTTTCATTCTAAATCGATCTCGGTGCTTTGACCTTTTACAGCTATATATATTTATGGATTGTTTGATTTATTTTTCAATTAATTATATTTCTCTCTTAAGTAAAGGTTATGAATATATTACTTTAGAAAAATGTACAATTACAAAACTTTGGTAATGTACAATGTAGGAAAAGTGCAAAATGTTTTGTACATGTTTTCGTAAAAAATTCTGTACCAAAAAATGATAAACTATACGAAAGATATCAAAAGTTGGGAAGAGTTTTGTCAAAGATCGTTCGAGTCCTTCCTTCGTAATCAAATATTAAAAAACAAACTTCAATTTCAATTAAAAAAAAAAACATAAAAACATTTTTAATTAAACTTAACATGACAATAGATTTCAAGATATTAACGAACATCTAATACTATTTTTTTCATTTACAATTTAATTTTTAAATTACTTAAAAGTTGATTTTAAAATGAATATAATAGAAACAAATCTATACAGATCTGATCAGCACAACTGATCAGATCTTAAATAACTACAAAAATAATTAATTTAACATAGAAGAAGTTCGTGTAAATTGAGCAAATCATTCATATTTCAATCGTAAATATTAACAAAAAAAAATTATTCAGCAAAATTTTGAAATATGAAATATGTGTCTCATATGTTTATGTGCATCTGTAAAAAGATTTTAGACAATTCTAAAATGTTATGTATAATATATATATATATATATATATATATATATATATTATTTAGAAAGATATCAAATAGAAATCGCATTGATTAGTTTTTAGCGAAGAGCGAAACGTTGATTTTTTAAATGATTAGTTAAAAATTGTCTAAATCTATATTACTATAAATCCGAATTCATATAAATAGATTATTCGTATCGTACAGTTAATGTAACCTGCCTCTTGGACCTAGTCATTGTAGTTTTTGTTATATTTTTTTGTCATATCACAAACTCCTAAATCCAATGAAAACAATTTATATCATATTTTATAATATGTCATGTATCTTTTTGTACATTGGTCTCGATAAAACGCAGTACAAATGATGTGATTTTTACAAAACTCTGAGTTTCTTTTAGCACGGTTTGTATACAACACATTTCCGTAAAATGTGCTACGAATTAATCTGGTGTACGCTGTAGATCCGAATTTGTTCTAGCGCTATTTACATGTTAAATTATATAGCAAAAATTAATGAGTTAAATTTAAAACGTACCATTTTATTCGCAAATACTTCGGTTAAAATCACAAACACACGCGGCGACATCGAGTCGGACAAAAGTGCACTCGGCAGAAGTAACAACGACCGACAACCGAAAAACGACGACCGATCACAACGAGTGCTACCCGATTACTAAATTTGCATAATTTTTGAACAACTACTGCCCTCGTCTAGGTATTACCATATATGGTCATAGATCTCGTGATGACGTCACACAAAAGGAGGCATCTCTAGGAGATTGAATGCAGAATATTGCACTTGAAACTGACACGAACGAAATACATAGAATTTTAGTATTTTAGTCAAAACTAATAACTAGATGTAACTGGCATTTTGCTTTAATAATGGATAATAAGAATTAAAATAAATTATTTAGAAAACAAGTATGACGACCAAAAGTAATTTTCAATTATTAAATCAGCAAAACATTTTTTTTAAATATGTATTTATTTATTATCTTAATTATTTCTATATCTTATTCTTATCTATTTTATATCTTATTTTCATTATTATTTTTTTATGTTATCCGTTATTTAGGGTAAAGCTGAGCGCAAAGGTCCACTTTAAAAAATTATATTGTGAAAACCAACCAGTATTAGATATAACAATAACACATATCAAACAACAACTAGACAGACAACTATCTGACTATGTTCAGTAATACTCTCAGCAAATTCATCATTGTAGAAATGTGATTTTTATGTTTCTCAAAAATTTGTAACCCGGTCCTTTTTATCCCAGCCAGAAAAGGCGAGATAAATTGATATGGAAGAGGGGCAAACACATCCAATGTCTTATTTAAATATTGAAGAATTTTTACATAATTTTTTTTAACTACATTATTCAATCAATGCAAAATATAAAAAATAAATAGTACTACAAATAATTTTGACACTAACTACATTATTCAATCAATGCAAAATATAAAAAATAAATAGTACTACAAATAATTTTGATCTGGTTCGAAAGAAATATTCATCAGCAAAGTTGGAATAAATATTAATTTTATTTACATCTTGTAAAATTGTTTTTTAAACTTAATTTACTTTTTATTAGCAATTTTTTGTTTTTGACACCTTTGCCAGAGTGAAGATTTAATTGGTTCTTTTCACGGTAAAAATTGTACCCCACCCACGTGTATACTTTTATAGAGGTTACATAAAAGAAACTGTTGAATCTAATTTAAAAATAACAATTAGTGCAGTAAACGGAGCGTTTTAGGTCTGAATTTTTTTACTGTGCTCCGAATTGAATGAAATTTTGGAATTAGGTTCATCTTACCATCAAGTTCAAAAGTGAAAACAATTCGGGTTGCGCCATCACCCCCCGGGGGGAGACACCCCCTTCTGATTGTTAATTACTTTTTTTTCAAAATAACATCGGAAATCGATAGACGCACTAATTATAAGAAAAATGTCTTTTATAGTTTTTTTTTAAAAAACCTAATACTTTTCAAGTTACAGGCCACTAAAGATTCTATATTTTTGGCGTTTTTCTTTGTTTTTTTGCAAATATCTCCTAAAATACATTTTAAACGAAAATCATGTAATGAACAAAATAATGTCAGTAAAATCTTAATTAATCGGTATTACATAAAGTGTTCTAGGAAAAATATTAAGAAAGATTTGAAAGAGCAAAGTTGTTTTTTATTTCGTCAAGATTAATTGTTGTATTTAAAGCCATCTAGTGTCGAGGTTTTACATTTTATGCATTTCGGTGAAATTGGGTTTATAGTGCTCAACATAAGCTTTAAAATGAGTGCTGTTACAAGTTTTTTGCGTGTAAAATGAGTGAGCTATCATGCAAATAAGAGCATGTACGATGCTTTTTCTTTTAAATCATATGGTTTAATGAGCGCCATTTCCACCAGAATTAAAGTAATTCACATTCCTCTAGAATTTCACTTCATTATAGCATCTTGATGGATTCTAGTCAGATTCACTACTTTAGTACAAACTATGTTCAGAAAACTCACGAATTTATAAAAACTTGTAACAGCACTCATTTTAAAGCTTATGTTGAGCACTATAAAACCCAATTTCACCGAAATGCATAAAATGTAAAACCTCGACACTAGATGGCTTTAAATACAACAATTAAATCTTGAACGAAATGAAAAAACGACTTTGCTCTTTCAAATCTTTCTTAATATTTTGCCTAGACACTTTATATGTAATACCGATTAATTAAGATTTTTATTGGCATTATTTTGTTCATTACACGATTTTCGTTAAAATGTATATTTTAGGAAAATATTTGCATAAAAACGAAGAAAAACGCCAAAAATATATGAATCTTTAGTGGCCTGTAACTTGAAAAATTAGTTTTTTAAAAAAAACTATAAAAGACATTTTTTCTTATAATTAGTGCGTCTATCGATTTCCGATGTTATTTTGAAAAAAAGTAATTACACATTCAGAAGGGTGTCATCCCCCCGGGGGTGATGGCGCAACCCGAATTGTTTCACTTTTGAACTTGAGGGTAAGATGAACCTAATTCCAAAATTTCATTCAATTCGGAGCACAGTAAAAAATTCAGAGTTTATACCCTTTTTTCCTCTCCGTTTACTGCACTAAATATATCTTATAAAATAATTAAATAACGAATACTTAAAAATTATATTAAGGTCTCGTAATCTAAGCAGTGGCGTTCAAAACAAATAACGACGAAAGAAAATACTTTTTTCATGGATTTTTAAACATTACCTTAGGATGGCTGATTATACATCTTGTCCCTAGTACTTTCTATTATTCTTTTAAAAAAAAAATTAACTTCACTGGTTTTTAAGATATCGGTGGTGGACGTTTTTACCCGCGGAACTACAAGACCCGCTCTACCCTACCTTTCAAATTTCTTCA